CTCCATAGCCAGGGATGCTCATTTTGCTCCCCTTGCCTAAGTGATAATGAGCATTATAATTTTTAGCATGCGTTGAGCACTTTATGTGTCAGTCGCAATGCCAAGCACTCTATAYGTGTGACTTCATTATGTTCTTACTATACTCTTAGGACATGGATACCATTACTGTTCCCATTGAAAGATGTGAAAACGGTACTCAAAGTTACAGAGCTAGTATGTGGCAGGCTGAGAATTTAGATCTAGTTTGAAACAAGTGCTCTCACCCAACTTTCCTCCTTGGTCAATTCAGCAGTTCAAGGCTTAGTGTGTTTGCCCTTCAGTGAAGTCCTCCCAGTCTTCCATGTCCTTTCTTCTCCTAGACACTCAGAATTTTCCATCTACATTCATTACAGTTCCAAATGTTATTTACACATTGGACAATTTATTAGTTCCTTCAACAGAGGTATTTGGAATGCATACTCCACAGGACATGGTACTGTAGAGTGAATGGAAATGAAGTAGGGAATGAAGCAAGTCAGGTCCTGGCCTCCTAGAGACTAGTAAAGCAATAGGCATAGATATATGCCATAAAACCCCAGATGATAGTTGCTATGRAGAAACACTTTGGATACATAATTTTGGATACATAAACATAATATGTCTGTCTCTAAGCATCATATGAGTATATAACAGTCACAATTATGTTTTTTTTAAGTTTTTTAATTTTCCCACTACTAATGTATTTCCAAATTGATGGGCAGTTGGTGTGGCATTAATAAATTTTAGGAACTATTTAGGTTAGAAATTAAATTTCAAATTGGAAATTGAAGTCAATCTTGTAGAAATGGGATCCATAAAACCTTTTAGCATCATGACGTGAGTTTCAGAGAGAAGACATAAATATTATGAATGAAAGAATAAAATTGGATTTGACCAGAGGCAAGGTTGTCTCAATGTAAATCTCTCAATTCAGGAATGTACTTGTTTAATTTGATATAGTATGAGTTGACAATGTTCAGAACACAATGAAAAGCTCTATTACTCGAAATTTTTCCAGCTGAGATTGCTGAATTAGTGCTTCTAAGAATAAATGAACATGAAAATGAGTTCTGGTTACTGTTTCTTGACTGTACTCTGTTCAACCTTTTCCCATCTGCTGATTACACAATAATTAACAAGTGGTCTTTACAAAGAGCTATGCATGAAAATGAAATCCCCAAATATAATATTTTAGATCTCAACCTTCATGTGAGAAGCATTTACTCAATCATAACATTTCCAAACAACTTTAGCCTACTATATTAAGTGATTCTAAATTTTCAGAAAAAAAAACAATAATAAATGCTCAAAGAATAACATTAGAACAAGACACTGTAACTCAGTGACTCAAAAGCAGTACCATTGGGCTGGGGATACAGTTCAGTGGTAGAGCTCTTGCTCAGTATGTGCAAGGTCCTGAGTTCCATCCCCAGCACTGCCCCCAAACAAAACAAAACAAAACAAAAGCACTAGTACAACTGAGATAAACATTACAAGGGATTTATCAACAGTTACAAAACCCACTTAAGGATATAAACATAAGGCAGTTGCCTTAGGATGCAGCTTGTTGCATTTGAGTACTTGAATTCACTACTTTTGAAGTTATGATAAGCTATAACAGTTTGGAAGTGAGTTCTATTACTGGAGAAACTGAATTAAAATAAAAAAAAATACAGCAAAACAAAAGATGTCCATCTGTTCACCACAAAGAATAAAGACCTTAGTGCCAGTTTAGAGTACTATACTTTAACCATGAAYATCACAGGAGTTTGCTGGAGTCAGAGCCCTCCCTGCCTATAATATCCAGACAGGTATGGGCACATAAATCCGGTCATGTTAATGTAGAGCTTAGAGTTTAGCGATGATAAACGCTACATAAAKGTTACACTAAAAATAGTACACATCATAGACCCAGGAAGTGTTTGAATCATACCTATAACTGTGTACAATGTAGAAAAGGGGAATTATCCCCACATTTGGTAGTAACTTTACTTTGGTTGGAAATGGCTTTATAGTTTCTTTTTACATTGTGCTATAGCTTGGATCTGGAGTGTCTCCCAAAGGCCCATATGCTAAAGGAGTGGTCAGCAGCCTGTGGCATTAATGGGAGGTGGTGGGACCTTTAGGAGGGAGAGCCTAGGGAAAGGAAGTTAAGTCTTTGAGGACATGCCCTTGAAGGGCATGTTGGGATCCTGGCTCCTGCTCTCTCTGCTCTCTAGCCTCTGTAAGGTGAGCAGCTTTGCTCTACAACCCACTCATCTCCATGATATCTGCATGGCCAGAAGCCCAAAAGCAATGAAGTCAGCCAACAAGAACTGAATCCTCTGAAATCCTGAAATATCCTTGTGAGTTGATTATTTCAGGTATTTTGCCACACAACAGAAAGTTGACTAAYACATATTTAGATTTCTAWGCCATACTACCCCCTGAGGATTTTAAATGCTTTATTATCACTTACTATGTATTGAATTTCTTCCCAGAGCAACTTTACATTTCCTGTGCTTATAAGAAATAAACAATTGCATCTGCAAGATTTAATATCTTGATCCATTTGCCCCCTGCTTCTCTTCCTAACCCATAACCGACTGACAGATATCAGGGGATGATCATTGGGAAGTGTTATCAGGATACCTTTGGTTCACTTAAAAATCATACACATACAGGATTTTGTATTTGCAGTTTTTCCATATTTCATTCTCAATACATGTGCACTGTGATAAGTAATGCTCATTGCAGCATGATTTCAGATGAAATAAGACTTATAACATTTTATGCTGCTGTAATTGTCTCTAAATGATCCTTTGACTCATTTAATAAGAACAATACATTTTGACATTATTCAATTATTCCCATTTTGGTTCAATTATGTGTACATTTTGAATATCACAAATAACCTCACTTATCTCTAATTCTAAACATAATTTAGAAAAAAGTAAAATATCCTGTGTTCTAAAATAACAAATACTTTTAAAACTACAAGTTTCCTGATAAAATCAATTAACATACAATTGGAATATAAGTAAATAAATAAAGACATATAGTAACAAAAAAGTATTTCATATCAAGTCAGTAGTCAATATCACTGTAGGGTAGTTATTTTAGTCTTACATTTTTGTAATGTCAATAATGACATTTCTTACAGAAAATTAACAAAAGGTTTCTCCTAACAATTATACCTAAAAGGYGCTAGCTTGCATAAAAACCAGAAATAAAAATATTAACCATGAGAGTCAAGCAGTTGCAAAGACCAGTTAGTCACTAAGAAGCTCTGACTGACTCAGGAATACTCCAGCTCATCATTGTAATGGCAGAAGAAGGTACTTGCTAAACCACACCAGGGTTCCCTCAAAGCCACAGGAAGAATAATGTACAGAACACTGCTTCCAAGACTCAAAACATGGGCAAAAACTTACCTTAAATGGAGATGATTTCGAACAGCCTTTGAAACCACTTCATCCTGCCATTTACTGTAATAACAAGGATGAAAACTACTGCCACAGCCTCATTAGTTTTCTGCTTCATTTACTGAAAATGTTCCCTGTCCTGCTGACTAATAGTCACCTGGTGAGGCTCAAAACTTTGCAAGACAATTGTTCTGGGGTAGGCCTGGGGGCACCTGTGCATCTTAAAAACTCTCCAAGCAGTTCTACAATAGTCAGGGCCATGAGTCAAAGATTCCTCCCACAGCTGTTGCCTTGGTTTCCCAGCCTTCAGTCTTGGCCTCCTGTGACAGCCTCTGAATGCTGCCACAATGATCTTTTGTAATGCTCATGGAATTAAATTCAAACTTCTGAGCATAGTGTGGAAGACTCCACAGGACTGCTCTAATCTACCTGCCARACTGCTCTTCACTGTTCTTTCCTCATTGTCTCTGCAAAGCTGCCTCCTAGGGCCTGGCTTCAGCTTCTGCACCTGAGCTCTTACTCACCCCTTGCTCTGAGCTCTGAAATGCTCTCCATTCTGCCCAGACCCACCTCCTCAGCGAAGCTATTCCTGACATCCTAGTGCCCAGCTTCCTGCAAGTGTCCCCCAAGCACCCTATATGAATAGGTGTGTGTGTGTGTGTGTGTGTGTGTGTGTRTGTGTGTGTGTAGTGGGGATGGTATTTGTTCTTTTCTAATCACAGTGAACTGTCATTTTAGAGAATATGTCTCCTTTTATCTTCTGTTATAGTTTGATTTTTAAGCATCCCCTGGATGGTAAATAAAGGCTGGCTCCCCGGGGTGGCACTAGTAGGAGTTGGTAGARCCTTAGGAGGTGAGGACTAGTGGGAGGTCTTCAGGTCAATGAGCCTGTGCCTTCAAAGGAGATTGTGTGACCTGGTCCCTTCCCCTAGCTCTCTCTTGCTCCCTAATCACAAGGAGAGCCCCAGTTAGTCATGGACTAAATCCTCCAAAACTGTGAGACAAAATAAACATTTTTTTCTATAAGTCAATTATCTCAGTTACTTGTTATACTGACAGAAAACTGACTAACACATCTTTATTAGATTTTATGAAGCAGGGACAATGTCACCTTTACTTTTGTGTCCCCTAAACTTAGCWCAATGCCAAGCATACACTGGTATTCTATATTTGTTGAATAAAAAATGAATAACATTTTACATTATTTTCCTTTATTACTGAGTTAAAAGAGATTTTCACTGGGACCACTAGGAAACTCAATATCAAGCTCATAGTATTAACTTGGTATTGGTAATGGTAATGAGTATTACTCTAATAAGGATTATCTTTCCAACTGTATTACCAGATGAATTTTCAACATGATTAAAGTCAATAAAAAAATCTTTAATTAAATCCTCAAGAGTGCCATCTTAGCATCAGTCTCCCCAGACCACACATTTTCAGAATCACAGGCAATGTATGCTCACCTTCAGCTCYGGGAAGGGAAGGAAGCCCACTTAATGCCCACCACAAGTTGGCCCAATAGGGCTGCTCCCATCATGTGACATTCTAACCCACAACTCTGGTGAACATGCTTACTTTATATTTGCTTTCTGATCTTGAAGGGGTGGGAATATGTCCTTTTTTCTTAAAGGTTGTAAAGTGCTTGCACTGAGGACACGGCTTGGTGCTGGAATCAATGCGGCCAAGTTCCAAGAAGTACTTATACTTGATGGAGTCTTCGTGTGTTAAGTTATAGACAACAGTTGTTTCTTCCAGGAATTCAAAGCACTCTGTGATAGGGCATTTGATTTCTACTTGGCCAAGTTGTACCTGTGTGAAAGAACAGGTGGTATTGGTTATTAAATTTCTTTCTCTTTTTTGCATTAAATATTGTTATATCTTGATTACAGTAAAGGGTTGTCTGTTATTTTTAAAGATAACARTGAGGGGCAATCACTTTGATACCTGTATTAGGCAGTTCCAAAATAATCACTATGTTTCCATACTGATTTATTATTGGATGTTTCGTTTTCTCTGATCATATTTGTGAACCTAAGCCACAGGCTTAGGAAACAAACTTCAACCCCATCCTAGAAACACCACGATGAGCCAGCATTCACACCCTGTGCCAATGATAGGAACAGCAGGGTGAGCCACATTTAGACCATGTGCCAACTACAAGGTGTTTCAGATGTCATTACTGTAGAATATTTCGGCACTAAACTTTAGGCACATTTTACTTTAAGAGGACAGAAGATATTTTGTAAAGTATATTATGCAATATATCTTGTAGTTTGAAAATCATTGCCAAAAAAATAACATTTTTTTWATGATCCTTCCACCTGGCCTCCACTTATGATTTTAATTTTACGTTTGCTCCTATGTCTCCAGAAGCTCAGGAGCAAGGAAGAAAAATAAATCAAACACAAAGGTGCAAAATAAAATTTAAAAAATTGGCTATTACTGATGAAATTCACAAAACGAATTTATTCAGAGGAACTCATGTATTTAGCATTTTGTACAGGATTCTAGATATGGCTAAACTAGAAAATAACAGTAAAATATTAAAGCACAAAATGTGAACACAATTGATTTTTGAAAGCTGAAGGAAATAAACAACTTTCAAATAAGAAGGGCTAGAATCTCTCCTTTATTAGTGAATAGGAACTCCTCTATGGCATAATAATCTTCTTTGCCCTTCCTAATATAGCAAAGGCAGGCACTGAAAACCCCACATGGCACATGATGATTCTCCCTTGTGTGACTGACATTCTGAGAAATAAAAACACATCCACCTGAATGAGAAACRCAAACCCTAAAGGCCGAGGCAGGAAGGGGAGGAAGCCACAGGCTCTGTGGGAGAAAATCGTTACAAAGAGCAATGTAACTTTGAAAAGCCTAAATTCACAGTAACTTTGAACTTTACTGTTTATACTGTGCGAACTTGAGGAAAGTAGTTACGAAGTTGGAGGGTGAAGGGTGCAYGAGAATGACACGTTTAATTAATACCGTGAAGGATATGAGCAAAAAATGATACCAAATGGAAGGGTCTGAGGAAGAGAGTCTGACTTTGATTAAACCCCTGAACCATTACGGATCTGATGAAAGTACAAAATGATACTTATTTGATGCTACTACTGTATAAAATGTGGTCCAAAGAGCTTTGTTTTTAAAATAGTTACCCAGTTTTTTTTACTCTTTTTGATGAGTCTGTTTACAGACTCAAATTTTTCTATTTACATTGTGGTGTTTTCATGGTATACTGATTCTATTTTTTTTTTTTTTTGGTACTGGGTATTGAACTCACAGGCGATTAACCACTGAGCCACATCCCCAGCCCTTTTTTGGATTTTATTTAGAGACAGGGTCTCGCTAAGTTGCTTAAGTCCTTGTTAAGTTGCTGAGGCTGGCTTTGAACTCATGATCCTCCTGCCTCAGTCACTTGAGCTGCTGGGATTACAGGTGTGCACCACCACACCTGGCCTCTATTTATGATTTAATAAATTATTTTAAGACARCAGTCCTCAAGAGAGTTCATGTAGACAAAACTACAAAACAAGAAGTCTGGCTCGGTGAAGTATATAACTTAAACATTCAAAAATGATGAAATATTTCCCCCTTCAACATTCTGTTGACATTTTTGAAGGCCAATCCTGAGCCTCCTACTGGGTTAGGGACTGAAGCTTCACAGGTGCCCATTGATCAAGAGGCAGTGAGGACAGAGCGAGTGTCAACACCTGGCATGATGAGTGCAGGTGTCAGAGGACAGCATGGGGAAGCATGGGAACCTCGCCTGGGGAGGTTCAGAGGAGGCTTCTGGGTAGAAGGGAGGCGGCTCCAGATAAGATCTTAAGATCTGAAAGACTTGGCAAGCAAGGGTGAAGGCATTCAAGCAGACCGAAAAAACAGCACAGACAAAGGAGGCCTGGGGAATACAGCAGAGCACACAGAACAGGGATGGTCATATTGTTCCCATCCCTGAACCCCATCAACTTAAACAGCACATGGGCATGCATCTGAATTTAGAGATCATCACCTTAGCAGGGGGGGGGGGGATTAAAGATGTGTAATAAGAATGGCCCAAGGGTGTGAGTATGGAAAGCTGAGGCTGTGCAGATGAACTTGGACCAGAGGATGAGAGTAGAATCGCTACCTTGGGAATCTGCATTTTSTCCTATAAAATTAGAAAACTATTCCATTTGTAGCACATGAGAGTTTCTTTTCATTACACACCACACACACATACACACACACACACACTGCTCATTTCAGTCACTTTAAGGGCTCCTTTTTATTGGGGAGCAGTACACTTTATTGGTTTTGGAGACCGAGTTTTCAATTCCCAGGTCAGGGTTCGAATCCAGACTCCCTCAACCTATAGGTTTATTTATTTTATCTAAATACATGATAACCATTGATGCAGAAATTTCACAGCCATCTGGGAATAGTCATGTCTTAGGGAAATGGAATGTAGTTTAGGGACTACCATCTTCTGCAGCTCAAGAGACCAGGCCWCCTTGTCACTCGTTCAGCAGTGGGTGCTCGTCAACCACACTGGGCTACCTACCACTCAACATCCAACAAGCACCTTGTCTTCTATTTTGATGTTTCTTAAATTTGTCTGTAAACTCATTTTATTTCCCATATATAAATTCCTCTTTGCTTACATACTCTCCTATTGACTATTCCAAACCTTCTCTTCCTTTCAAAATCCCTATCCTACCTTATTGACCCAATAGCCTTATACAGTATTTTATGGAACATGCAAAAATCAGATGCATATTCTYCTGTCTTCCCACTGCCAGCTTTACCAGTGTATCAACTCTGACCCCATCTTTTCTTCCTTGTTACCTTGTATAGTGGAAGGCTAAATCTWCTTCCAGGACAACTGCATACAAATTGCTTGTAATGTTTGTTGAGAATTCAAGTTTCTGGGCCGACTCAAGACCTTACATATTCAAGGTTGAAATTATTGTATTTTGGGTTTTTTTTAAGTATTTTTTCCTTTCCACTTTTTTTTTTTTTACTGGTACATTATAGTTGTACATATGATGGGATTTTTTTGTTACATATTCATATATGCACACAATATAAGAAAATAATTTGGCCCATGTCAATCCCCAACACTTCCCCCTACCCTCCAGACTTCTCAGCTGTGGTCCCTTTCCTCTACTGATCTCAATTTGATTTTCATGAGATCCCTGCCCCCCACTCCCATTTCCTYCTTTCTCTCTAGCTTCCACATATGAAAGAAACATACAATCCTTGACCTTCTGAGTTTGACTTATTTTTTTTAACATGGTCTGTAGTTCCATCCATTTCCCTACAAATGACAATTTCATTTTCAGAGTTGGAATTCTTGCCAATAAGCCAATAATTGGCAGTCTGAAAAATCACTCTCATAATATTTTCAATCTCTCATATTTCTTCATACTAATGCCTTTTTCATGCAGAGTGTTATTCATGATCTGTCTGATCTCTTGGTTTCTATATGTGTATTTTTTTTTTTTAGAAAATAATTTTCTTAAAAGATTACTGCCAAACAAAAAAAATCTTGACTAAGCAAAGTGCATTCATTTATTTAGTCAACAAATAAGTGTTCCATTAATTCAAGATGCACTTTAAAATAATCATTTGACATCTGAAAAGTCAAGACTGTTTCAGAATCAATAGTCATTAGCCACAGTTTAATTTGCACTGCTTTTACTTTCTTAGTGGTACATAACATGATACTGCATCCTACAATTGATCATATCTTTTAAATTTCAATGAAGTGTGATTTTTATGGATCAGGCATTGAGATGAACTTCTGCTGAGATGGCAGGAGAGAGAAACATCATATTGGAGAAAATGCAATATAAGTAAACAAACAAACAAAAAGATTGTAACCAGTGTTACCATGAACTACATACACATAGGGAGAGAGTCTGGGAAAGTGTCTGGGCCTGACATGCAGAGGAAGACACTGCCTGCAAAGCAAACCAGGACAATGGCCCCAGGGAAGAAGGTGCCGAATGTGCCTGATATATCTGTGCTCAAAGCAAAGATCAGAGTGACTGAAACATATTAAGTGAGAGAGGGAACAGCATGRGATGATACTGGAGTGTCAGGCCGGAGACAGATCCCACAGGCCTGGTTGGCAATGATTAAGTTTACACTGTATTCTAAGTTCAATATAAATCATCAAAGGATTTAAGGGGAGGAGTAATGTCTTGATTTACATTAAAAAAAAAAAAAAGAATCAGGCTCTTCTAGGAGGATGCACTGTGCAGGAGCAGAAGTGCAGGTTGGAAGAATAGTGGCTCTCGGATTGTAACTCTCTTACCACCAGTTGTCCAAGTAGTAGATAATGGATGACTGAACTTGGTAGCAAGAGGTGCCCAGAGAACCAACTGGGATGTTTTAAAATTGACAAATAAAAATTGTATATTTATGGTATGTAACATGTTGTTTTAAAATATGTATATATTGTGAAGTGAAATGGTTAAATTAAGCTAATTAACATATGCATTATCTCACTTTTTTTCTTTTCTTTTTTCTTTTTTAGTGAGAACACTAAAACCCTTGGGAGCTTATAACACATTGTTATTAACTAATCACTATGTTGTATAACAGATCTGTCAAGTTTATTTCTTCTAAGTAAAAGTATGAATCCTTTGACCAACCTCTCCCAATCCTCCCCACCCCACCCCAMCAAACCCCTGGTAATTAACATTTTACTTCCTGTTTTTATGAGTTCAATGTTTTTAGATTCCAATATAATTATGGTTCTGACATCATTCTGCTTATGTTATTCAACATAATGGCCTCCAGGTTCATCCATATTGTCA